GATCTTGCCCTGAGCCGAAGGCAGATGCTCAACCACTGAGCCACCCATGCGTCCCAATAAATAAAATCTTAAAAAAAAAAAAAAAAAAAAAAAAAAAAAAAGATAAAATTAGAACCGCTGAGCCACCCGGGCTGCATTTTTTTTAGGTTGTGGTTAAGAGTTTTGTCTTAAGAGTAATTTCAAACTGGGCAGCCCAGGCGGCTCAGCAGTTTAGCGCCGCCTTCAGCCCAGGGCCTGATCCTGGAGACCTGGGATCGAGTCCCATGTCGGGCTCCCTGCATGGGGCCTGCTTCTCCCTCTGCCTGCATCTCTGTCTCTCTCTCTCCTCTCTGTGTATTCTCATGAATAAATAAATAACATCTTAAAAAAAAAAAAACGACCAAACTACTGCAGAGTAGGAGTGGATTTGTGTGTATGTATGTTTTCAATTATGGCAAGTAGGTATATAATTTTGCTGTCTTAACCATTTTAAGCATACAGTTAGTGGTGGTATTAAGTACATTTATGATGTTGTGCAACAATCACCACCATCTATCTTAAATTTGTGTTTCAAAGGGATGATTTTGGTTGTAGTTTTTTTTTTTAAAGATTTATTTATTCATGAGAGAGAGAGAGAGGCAGAGACACAGGCAGAGGGAGAAGCAGGCTCCACACAGGGAGCCTGACGTGGGACTTGATCCTGGGACTCCAAGTTCACGCTCTGCACCAAAGGCAGGCGCTAAACCGCTGAACCACTCAGGGGTCCCCCGCTTGTAGTTTTAAGAATGGTTTAGGTGAGGTTTTTTTTTTTTTTTAAGATTTTATTCATTTATTCATGAGAGACAGAGAGACAGAGATGGGCAGGGACACAGGCAGAGGGAGAAGCAGGCTCCATGCAAGGATCCCAATGTGGGACTCGATCCCGGGACTCTAGCATCACGCCCTGGGCCAAAGGCAGGTGCCAAACAGCTGAGCCACCCAGGGATCCCCTAGGTGAGGGTGTTTGATGGAAGTGCTCCATGGGAAGCCATCCACAGAGTGGGGCGGAGGGGGGAAGTGTTGAAATTCACGAGGGGTAAAGACCACTGAGTATCCTGTGTACTGTGGACTGCCATGAGCCACAGAGGCAAGCAGAGAATGTACTGAAATCAGAAGAAAGGCCTTTTTCTCTTGTGGTGTCCCTCCAGTGCCCCCACTGAGGATAAAAAGGACATGACCATCAAGGAGGAAACTAACAATATTTGCCACAATGTCTGGGAGCTCTCCCTTCAGTATGTACAGGAATGATATCCTGTGATCCTATTTTTGTTTATCATTGGCCTACTGTTTGTACATTGGCCTACTGTAGAAACAGTTCAAAGCCCACTTCTGATCCTTGCTCATTTGATCTCAGGTAAAGTCACATAGATTCTCTGATCTGATTAAATAAGGGAACTGTGTCTATATCATATATTCTTAAATCTGGCTGTGAACAACTCATCTAGTGAGTTTGTTAAAAATTCATATTTCAGGGACTTTTACTGGCAAATTTAAAGCAACTTGAGCATCAAAACCATAACAGGGGGCACTCACCTGGGTAGCTCAGTCAGTTAAGTGTCCAACTCTTAATTTCAGCTCAGGTCATGATCAGGATTGCAAAATCAAGTCCTACACCCCTCTCTACACTGTGGAACCTGCTTAAGATTCTCTCTTTCCTTCTTTTGCTCCCTGCCCCCGCCTCACACGTGTATTCTCTCTCTCTCTCTCTCTCTCTCTCTCTCTCTCTCTCTCGCAAAAAAACAAAACCAAATAATAACAGGAATAATTTATAACATATTGAAGAAAAAAGAATCAATGTTTATAATGATACTAAAAAGATTATAAAGAAGTAGAGGAGAATGGAAACTTCTTTAGAAAAGACAGCTAATAAATGTAGTTAAGAGTGTTCTAATTCTGTCACCAGTTTACAACCATCATAGTACCAATTGGTTGGTGCAAGAATCGTTAATGGATGCTAAAATATGGCATGTTTTGGTGGACAACAGGATATTTCACACAGACTCAAAGCTGTCACCCTATAGATTACTTAGCAATTAGAAAATGAAAAGGGCACCTTACAGTGCTGGTAGATAGCACTTTAACCAAATGGTCCAGCCTATTAGCATTGCCACTGATGGGACAAACTGATACTTTGTTATTCTTATCCAAATGAACAAATTTATTAAAGATTTTTTTTATTTTTTTTTATTAAAGATTTTATTTATTTATTTTTTAAATTTATTTGAGAGAAAGTGAGTATAGGGGAGGGGTGGAGGGAATGAATCTCAAGCAGACTCTTCTCTGAGCATGGAGCCTATCACAGGGCTCAGTCTCATGACCCATGAGATCAAAACCCATGAGCAGAACCCAAGAGCTGGATGCTTAACCTACTGAGCCACCCAGGCACCTCAGAGATTTTATTTTTAAGTAGTCTCTACACCTAACATTGGACTCAGACTTACAACCCCAAGATCATGAGTCCCATGCTCCACTGACTGAGCCAGCCAGGTACTCCTAAAAATATTTTTAAATTTATAAAGATAGGGGATCCCTGGGTGGCTCAGCAGTTTAGCGCCTGCCTTCAGCCCAGGGCACGATCCTAGAGTCCCAGGATCGAGTCCCACATCAGGCTCCCTGCATGGAGCCTGCTTTTCCCTCTGCTTTGTGTGTGTGTGTGTGTCTCTCTCTTTCTGTCTCTCATGTATAAATAAATAAAATCTTTAAAAATAAATAAATAAAGATACTAATATTAGGGATCCCTGGATGGCTCAGCTGTTTAGTGCCTGGCCTCGGCGCAAGGCGTGGTCCTAGAGTCTTGGGATTGAGTCCCACATCAGGCTCCCTGCATGGAGCCTGCTTCTCTTTCTGCCTATGTCTCTGTCTCTGTCTCTCTCTCTCTCTCTCAGTGTCTCTCATGAATAAATAAATAAAATCTTTTTAAAAAAAGATACTAATATTAGTTTATACATGAGAAATTGTGACCCTTTTTCAAGGTTATGTAATCTGCATTAGATTGGAAATTAGAATTTCTTTTTTAAATCTAGATTTTAAATTTAGCCATATTAGGGATTTTGCTTTATAGAAATTTATGTTCTTACTTGGAGTGGCAATATTAATCCCAAATATGGGGAAAAACTGCTTTTGAAAGCTTTAACACTTACGAACTCTGTAACTGCTACCTTAATATTTATCTTAACTGTTCCTGTGCCCACTTTAAAAATTTCACCAGCCAGAGAACTTTGTTTTGCTAGCATAAAGAAGTAAATGTGGGGTGTCTGGATGGCGCAGTTGGTTAAAGCCTCTGACTCTTGTTTTCAGCTCAGGTAATGATCTCAGGGTTCTGGGATTGAGCCCTGAGTTTGGTTCCTCTCTCAGGCTGGAGTCTGCCCGAGATTCCCCCTCTCCCTCTCCCTTAGCCCCTCCCATTCATGCTGTGTCTCTCTCTCTCTCAAATAAATCTTTTTTTTTTTATTTTTTTTTTTTTAATTTATGATAGTCACAGAGAGAGAGAGAGAGGCAGAGACACAGGCAGGGGGAGAAGCAGGCTCCATGCACCGGGAGCCCGACGTGGGACGTCTCCAGGATCGCGCCCTGGGCCAAAGGCAGGCGCTAAACCGCTGCGCCACCCAGGGATCCCTCAAATCTTTTTTTTAAAAAAAAGTAGTAAATGTGTCTTTGTGAGCCAACCTGGATTATAATTAGCTTTTAGTGGTTGCATGTGTTCTTTTTCTTTTTTTTTTTTTTGACTTTAAAAAATTTTTTAAAAGATTTATTTATTTATTCAGAGGAAGGGGCAGAGGGAGAAGCAGGCTCCATGCAGGGAGCCCAATGTAGGACTTGATCCCCGGTCTCCAGGATCACACATCAGGCTGCAGGCGGCACTAAACCACTGCGCCACCGGGGCTGCCCAAGATTTTATATTTAAGTAATCTCTACACGCAGCATGGGGGCTTGAACCTACAATGTGCGGAGATCAAGAGTCACATACTCCACTAACTGAGCCAGCCAGGTCCCCCATATGTGTTCTCTTCTGCTGTTCTGAAGGTTGAATTGCCCCTTTCATGGGGCTGGTTTGGCAATAAATTGTGCTATTTTAGAGTAGGGTAATTGATGTGAATTATTCTTCCCTTAGACTTTGAGCATGTTTGAATTGGCCAATACTACTTTTGATGGGAGCTAATAAGGGTTTAAGTAAGGCAGAGAAAGGACAAAGCTTTCTCTTGTTTAGCAAAAAGTCAAACCTGCTGAAAGAGGGCAAAAACTACTCTTTTGTCTGAAAACCTTTTGCTTTTTTTTTTTTTTTTTAAAGATTTTATTTATTCATGAAAGAGAGGCAGAGACACAGGCAGAGAGAGAAGCAGGCTCCATGCAGAGAGCCCTATGTGGGGGGCTCGATCCCAAGTCTCCAACATCACTCCCTGGGCCAAAGGCAGGCACCAAACCGCTGAGCCACCCAGGCGTCCCAAACCTTTTGCTTTTAATTTAGGTCTTTACCTAGAATATTTCACAACAAACAAAACAGAGATTAATGTATTCTTTCTGACTGCTTCCCCAGTTCTTAGAAGTAAAAGAAAAGTTATATTGTTCTACTTACTTTGTCTTATGTATCACAGAAGAGTAAATGGTTTGGTTTTTTTTTGTTTTGTTTTGTTTTTAAGATTTATTTATTTGAGAGAACACGAGTGGGGGGAGGGTTAGAGGGAGATGGAGAGGGAGAGAGAACCAGTCTCCCCACTGAGTGGAGAGCCCATTGCAGGGCTAAATCCCATGACCCAGAGATCACATCCTGAGCTGAAACCAAGAGTCAGATGCTCAACTGACTGTGCCACCCAAGTGCCCCGAGATGGTTTTTTTTTTTTTAAATCATGTATGGATTTTGAATGTCATCAATTGATTTTCTGCATTTATTGAGATGAACGTGTAGATTTTTCCCCTTTTAATCTGTTGACAAGACATTACTAGTTCGGAAATAACATTTCTTGCTTCTTATCTCTGTCCCCCAGGTGATTTGTGGAGTTATGATTTCTTCAGTGGTGAGTTTGTGGTGTCACCTGAACCAGACACGAGTGTCCACACTCTTGACCCCCAGAAGCACAAGTATATTATTTTGGGGAGTGATGGACTTTGGAATATGATTCCACCGCAAGATGCCATCTCAATGTGCCAGGACCAAGAGGAGAAAAAGTACTTGATGGTGAGAAGTGGCTCAATGATTTAAAATTATTGTCTACACATTGTTCTACTTTTGTTTGTTTTTTTATTTTTTTTTAAAGATTTTGTTTATTTATTCATGAGAGACCGAGAGAGAGGCAGAGATACAGGCAGAGGTAGAAGCAGGCCCCACACAGGAAGCCCGATGTGGGACTTGATCCTGCAACTCCAGGATCACGCCCTGAGCTGAAAGCAGACGCTTAACAGCTGAGCCACCCAGGTGTCCCCTGTTCTACTTTTGTCAGAGGTCTTGAATATGAACTAAGGATGCTCAGTTTCAATAGATATTTGCATTTGCCTGGCTCTAAAATTACGTAAAACAGACTTTGCAGCTCATCAGGGGAATGAGACAGGATATAAATAAATGAAACTAGATAACAAAACACAGGGGATCCCTGGGTGGTGCAGCGGTTTGGCGCCTGCCTTTGGCCCAGGGCGCGATCCTGGAGACCCGGGATCGAATCCCACATCGGGCTCCCGGTGCATGGAGCCTGCTTCTCCCTCTGCCTGTGTCTCTGCCTCTCTCTCTCTCTCTCTCTCTCTCTCTCTCTCTCTGTGTGCCTATCATAAATAAAAACACACACACACACACACAACCACTGACTTTGTTATGAACAGCCCTTGACTTAATGGCCTATGAAACCTCATTAATCCTTTTGTTAAAAATTGAGAGGGGATCCCAGGGTGGCTCAGTGGTTTAGCGCCTGCCTTCGGCTCAGGGCATGATCCTGGAGACCTGGGATCGAGTCCCACATCAGGCTCCCTGCATGGAGCCTGCTTCTCCCTCTGCCTGTGTCTCTGCCTGTCTCTGTCTCTCTCTCTTTCTCTATCTTTCATAAATGAATAAATTAAAAAAAATCTTAAAAAAAATAAAAATAAATAAAAATTGAGATATAATTCATATACCATAAAATTTACCTTTTTAAAATCTATAACTCAGTGGTTCTTAGTATATTCTCTAAGTTGTGCAACTGTCACCGCTGTCTCATTCCAGAACATTTTTATCACTGCTCCCAAAACCCATAATCATTAGCAGTCATTCACTATCTCTTGCTACCTCCACCCACTGGCAAACACTGATCTGTCTCTATATATTTGCCTGTTTTTGGACATTTCATATAAGTGAGATCATATAGCATGTGGCCTTTTGTATTTGACTTCTTTCACTTAAGCATAATATTTTCAAGTTTCATCCACGTTGCTTGTAAATAAAAGTACTATATTTCTTTTTAAGGCTGAATAATTTTCTATCAGTGGATATACAACATTTAATTTATCCATCTGTTTGTCAGTTGATGGATATTTAGGTTGTTTCCACTTTGGGGCTCTTATGAATGACACTGTTGAGAATATTCACATACAAGTTTTTGTGTGGACAGGTTTTCAGTTTTCTTAGGTGTATACCTTGGAGTGGAATTGCTAATAAGATGCATAGTAATTATGTCACTTATCCTTTTATTAGTCCATTGCAAACCAAGAAACAACCATCAATAAGAAAAATCCTTTTCTTTCTTTCCTGGCTTGTTTGCAAACTGATTTCTTCTTCAAAGTAAGGAGAATTGGAAGAGTGTGATGGTGTTAAAGGCAAGGAAAGAGTGTTTTTTGGGTAGCAGGCAGCAATGTCAAATTCTGCAAAGAAGTAGAGGCAGATGGATGAGAACAGTATATATTGAGTTTTATAGTTAGGATCTTTTATTAGTGACCTTCAAGGATGAAGAGTAACTGGAATCAAGGGGATGGGCTATCCTTGGAAAAGATGATCTTTCTCTCAGATGGGAGGAATGGTAAAGCCATATTTTGGCATGAAAAGGAGTTAAAATTAAAAGAATTTGTATTGCTGCCATTCACCCAGCTAATAACATTAGATACTGTGCAGGGGAGTTAACTGTAGATTATGCTCCTTGCTCAGCATATACCATGTTGTTACAAATAGGATATGTTTATAGCTATCAGGACCTCTACTTGATTGTGAGTTGTTTAAAGGTAAGAGTTGTAAATAAAAATAAAAATAAAGGTAAGAGGGCAGCCCCGGTGGCGCAGCGGTTTAGCGCTGCCTGCAGCCCGGGGTGTGATCCTGGAGATCCAGGATCGAGTCCGCATCGGGCTCCCTACATGGAGCCTGCTTCTCCCTCTGCCTGTGTCTCTGCCTCTCTCTGAATGAATAAATAAATAAATCTTTAAAAAAAAATAAAGGTAAGAGTTGTGTCTTGATTCTTTTTTTTTTTTAAGATTTTATGTATTTATTCATGAGAGACACAGAGAGAGAGAGAGAGATGCAGAGACATAGGCAGAAGGAGAAGCAGGCTCGCCACAGGGAACCCAATGTGGGACTTGATCCCAAATTCTGAATCCCAGGATTACACCCTGAGCCAAAGGCAGACGCTTAACTGCTGAGCCACCCAGGCGTCCCTTGATTCATTTTTACAACCTTGGAGCTAACATGTTGCATTTGGTTAATGGCATCAGATGTAAGAGAAAGAGTGAATAAAATAGAGATTCTTTTATTAGAATTCTTTAATGATGAGAAAGAGAAACATTTCAGTGGCATGATGAGGTCATAAGCCAGATTGAGAGAACCTATTCATAAAACACCAAAGTGGTTTCAGAATGACTATTGAAGGAAGTATCCATATAATAACAATATTTAGAACAAGTGTTATGAAAACTGAGAAGGAAAAGATTGGAAACCTGGAAAGATTGGATAAGAGAGTTTCATGGACAAGAGTGATATTTGTGCAAGTCTTAAAGGTGGGATTGAATTTACCAGGTAAATAAGTGAGGAGAGAGAAGCTTTCCAGGTAAAGGAATAAAAAGTGTAAAGTCAAAGAAGAGAGACAGATTTAACATATTTAGGTTTCACAGATAGCTTGATGTGACTGAGGGAGAGGGGATAAAATGGTTTTAAATGCTGTTAGGAAGTTAGGTCTTTATATTCAGGTAGTAGAGAGTTATTGAAAAGCTATATTTTCATGATGCATTTTAGAAAGTTTACTCGTTGGGATGCCTGGGTGGCTCACTGGTTGAGTGTCTGCCTTTGGCTCATGGCATGATCTCGGAGTCCTGGGATCGAGTCCCACATCGGGCACCTTGCATGGAGCCTGGTTCTCCCTCTGCCTATGTCTCTGCCTCTCTGTGTGTGTCTCCTGAATAAATAAATAAAATCTTTAAAAAGTTTACTCATTTAATTGCAAGATGGAATATAAAATAGAAGATAATTGGTATTGAATATAAGGATTATATTTATTAGTAGGTGTAGGAAAACCTAGGCATTTAACAGAATTACCAATGCAAAGTTGTCCATGACAGAGAATGGGTGGCAGCAAAGATTACTGAAGAATCCCTGAGAGAAGGTGAATTTTGATGAGTAGAGTTTTGGTTATAAGGTTTGTCACCCACCTTTTTTTCACATGTTGATTCTTATTACCAATGTAAGTGATTTGATTTCTATTAATGGATTTATTAGGCTTCCTCTTTGGAGGCTACTGTTAAATTCCAAATGAGAATTTTTGCAAGCTTGATCTAAGGCAGCAGTGGTAAAACAACAGCAACAACAACAACAAATACATATATATGCAATAACAGAAGAAATAGAGTGATAGAATTGATAGAACTTGGTTGTTTTTTTTTTATAATTTTTTATTTATTTATTTATGACAGTCACAGAGAGAGAGAGAGAGAGAGAGGCAGAGACATAGGCAGAGGGAGAAGCAGGCTCCATGCACCGGGAGCCCGATGTGGGATTCGATCCTGGGCCTCCAGGATCACGCCCTGGGCCAAAGGCAGGCGCTAAACCACCGCGCCACCCAGGGATCTCCAGAACTTGGATTTTTAAGGAAGGATATGATGATGCCCAGACTTCTGACTGGTGATAGCTGTTAATCTAGAAGAAATACATTACTCTGGGGAAGAGGGGAGGTAATTAGTTCAGATGTAGGCATGTTGAATTGGAGGTGCCTGTGGTTAATCTAGATAGATATTTTCAGTAGGCAGAAATATTGAGAGAAACCTGGAAATATAAATTTGATTGGTAAGAGAGGAGTTAGGTAAAGCTGCTACAATTTATGAGATCACCTAGTGAGACTGTATGGTGGAAGAAAAGGACATGATATTAAGGATCCAAATCAGCAGAAACCAGTGAACTGAGTAAAAAATGCAAGTAAGGTAGTGGAAATGGCTTATACAGCAGTCCATCCCCCCCTCCCCCAATCCATGGCAGATACGTTCCAAGATCCTGGTGGATGCCTGAAAGCACAAATAGTACTGAACCCTATATATACTCTTTTTTCCTATACATACATAAAATGATAAAACTCAATTTATAAATTATATACAGTAAGAGATTAATAACAATAATAGAGAATTATGACTACTGTAATAAGTAATGTGAATGTGGCCTCTTTCTTAAAATATCTAACTATACTGTACTCATCCTTCTTATGAGATGATAAAATGCCTATGTGATGACATGAAGTGAATGACTTAGGCATTCTTTTTTTTTTTTTTTAGAAACTCAAGGCTTTTTTTTTTTTTTTTTTAAGATATTTATTCATAGAGACACAGAGAGAGAGAGAGGCAGAGACACAGGCAGAGGGAGAAACAGGCCCCATGCAGAGAGCCTGACGTGGGACTCTATCCAGGATCACGCCCTGGGCTGCAGGCGGCGCTAAACCGCTGTGCCACCAGGGCTGCCCTGATAGGCATTCTGACATAGCATTAGGCTATCACTGACCTGATGCTATGTCAGAGAAGGATCGTCTATTTCTTTTTTTTTTTTTAATTTTTTATTTATTTATGATAGTCACACACACAGAGAGAGAGAAAGAGAGGCAGAGACACAGGCAGAGGGAGAAGCAGGCTCCATGCACCGGGAGCCCGACGTGGGATTCGATCCTGGGTCTCCAGGATCACGCCCCGGGCCAAAGGCAGGCGCTAAACCGCTGCGCCACCCAGGGATCCCGGATCGTCTATTTCTAGACCACGACTGACCATGAGTAAGCAAGATTGTAGATAAGGAGCACTATCGTATAGATTTCTTTTTCATAGAGCTTTCTGGGGAAGTGAAACAGGCACACTAAAAAAAGTGAACATGAAGGGAGTCCTCAGTTCTCAGTGAGCTAGCATTTGGAAAGTGATAAAACTGGTGCTGGATAATGTGATAGATTAATGAATTAGAGATCATTGCTGCCTTTCATCAATTGTGAAGTGCATATTTTGTCTCACAAGAAAGAAAAAGCAATGTAGAAAAAAATAATCATTTACATAGTGGTACTTATCTTGGGAATGCAAGGATGGTTTATTGTATTAAGGTTTTAACAAAGCAGCTGAGAGGAGTTATTTGCAGTTTGCTATCAGTAATGTGTCAGAATACTGTTATATGCCCAAGATGGAACAACTCCAAATAAAGTTGATTCCCCATTTCATTTCTCCAAGGAAAGGATGAAAAAACCCTAGTTCTTTATCCATTTTGAATATATAAATTTCAGTGATAGAGATGACAATGACCTAAAGTACTTTATATATTTTTAATTTAGTGCTTTTAGTACATTATATATATTACTATATATTATGTATTATATATATATTTATATATACATATAATTTTTTTAAAGATTTAAAGAAATTTGACACAGAAAGCACAAGCAAGGGGAGTGGCAGGCAGAGGGAGAGGGAGAAGCAGACTCTGGTTGGTGGGGAATCCAATGTGGGGCTCAATCCCAGGACCCTAGGGATCACTATCTGAACTGAAGGCAGATGCTTAACTGACTGAGCGACCCAGGCACCCTTAATACATTATATATTATATAGTATGCATTAGAGTATATTATAATATATTAATATTTTTGTATTTACAGTACATTATCACATTATGTAAAATAATCACAAATTTTTTCTGCTTACAAAAAGTTCATGATTTCCACTTATTTTCATCATTCAATTATTTCTAAAGATACTTTTTAAGATATGTAGCCCTATTTTCTGAAGCACATCATTTTCATTCTTTAAAAGTTAGGAATTATTGAATCCACGGATTGAACCTCTGTATGATGCTCAGAGTTTTATGCCAAGCTACATTTATTTGCATAACATGAGATCATTTAAGGCTTTATTTGTTTTTAACTCTTTCTTTGTTGGAATTTTTTTTTTTAAGATTTTATTTATTTATTCATGAGACACACACAGAGAGAGAGGCAGAGACACAGGCAGAGGGAGAAGCAGGCCCCATGCAAGGAGCCCGACGTGGGACTCGATCCTGGGTCTCCAGGATCAGGCCCTGGACTGAAGGCAGCACTAAAACTGCTGAGCCACCCCGGCTGCCCTGTTGGAGTGTATTTGATCTCCATACCACAGCCCTTATTGTATTGCTTTTTTTCTCATATGAGTGACATCATTTTTTATACACAGTTGACGTTTAAACAACATGAATTTGAAATTTTTTTAAAGATCGATTATTTATTCATTCATTCATTCATTCATTCATTCATTCATTCGTGAGAGACAGAGAGAGAGAGAGAGACAGACAGACAGACAAGGCACCATACAGAGAGCCTGATGTGGGACTCTATCTGGGGTCTCCAGGATCACGCCCTGGGCTGAAGGTGGCGCTAAACCACTGAGCCAACTGGGCTGCCCCAACAACATGAATTTGAACTGTGTGGGTCCACTTAACAGGGATTTTTACAGTAGAGCATTGTACATGTATTTTCTCTTCCATATAATTTTCTTTTTTTCCCCAGCTTTATTGTAAGAATACAGTATATAATAATACAGATAACAAAAACATATGTGCTAATCAACTTAATTTTATTGCAAAGGTTTCTGGTCAACAGTCAGCTATTAGTAGTTAAGTTTGAGGGGAGTCAAAAATTATACATGGATTTTTAGTTGTGTGGGGGAGTTGATGTCTCTGATACCCCACATTGTTCAGTGGTCAGCTGTATATATTTAACAGTTGTTTATATTTTCTTGTCTCTGAGTTTTGTTCATATTCTTTGACAATTTTTATGTTGAGTCATTGCCTTTGATTTGCTGAAGCTCTTATTTTAGGAGGAAATTGGCCTTTGCAATGAGGTTGTTTTGGTTTGGTTTGGCCTTTTGCCAAGCCTGATTATCTCATTTGTGAATTGTTTATCTGTAATACATGATATTACTATTTTAGATTACTAAAAAATTACTATTTTATATTAACTTCTGTATAACTTTTCCTAATTAAGATTATGGTGAAGACTGAGTTTCTTATTACCAAAAAAAAAATAAAAATACAGATGAAATTTAACCATAGGATAAAGCCTTGTTTTATTTTAAAAATTTGGAGAAGTACTATTTTAACATAGTTATGGGACTATAGATTATGCTTGAAATTTTGGAAATTTAATTTATTTAAGCTATATTGAATACTTCATTTTTAATTTGCTACAGGTATAGTGGGAACTACATCTGAGTTGCTAATCTTCTTTCTTCTTGTTCTTTTAAATACAGGGTGAGCATGGACAGTCTTGTGCCAAAATGCTTGTGAATCGAGCACTAGGCCGCTGGAGGCAGCGTATGCTTCGAGCAGATAATACTAGTGCTATAGTGATCTGCATTTCTCCGGGTGTGGACAGTCAGGGAAATTTCACCAATGAAGATGAGCTCTTTCTGAACTTGACTGATAGTCCTTCCTATAATAGTCAGGAAACCTGCTTGATGACTCCTTCCCCATGTTCTACACCACCAGTCAAGGTATATAGTTCTCTATATTATTTGAATTTTTTAATTGAATTTCTTTGGTTAATGTTGCTTGAAAAGTTTTCAGATTCTTCATATTACAGGATTTTGGATTTGAACTAGGTTCAAGAAAATGATGGATCTTCATCATGCAACTTACTGTCATTGATTAATCTTCACATCAGTACTATTTTGAATGCCAGCTGTGTCTACCTAGTAGAAAGGAGATGTACATTAACAATATTCTAACAATATTCTAATGATCCTCTTCTAATACAATGAACATTTTTAAGCATTTAAGTTTGTGAAGTACTTTCATATATATTTCATTTGAACCTCATAAACCAAATAGGTAATTAGTGTAGGTGTTACTCTGTCTTATAGATAATAAGACTAAGAGATTAAGCAATTTGGATAAGATCATGCAGACTCAAGATTGAAGTGGACCTTAGGATATCAGACCTTAGAGCTGACTGTCTAATAACTTGGGCAAGAAACATTCTTCCTCTTCTTACTCAGTTAATTTTGAATGAGTTCTTAAGATACGCTGTGAAATAATTTAAATGGTACCATATTTCCTTTTTTCTGATTTCATCCCAGTATTTTTCTACTAAAAATTAGTTCTATTGATAACTGCTTTGTTATACTTGGGCCTTCTGAGAATGGGCTTTTATTTATTTTTTTTATTTTTGAGAGAGAGAGAGAGAGGAGGGGAGAGGAAGCAAGAGAATCTTAAGCAGGCTTCACACCCAGCGTGGATCCCACCCCCAGGCTCAATTTCATGACCCTGATATCATGACCTGAGCTGAAACCAAGAGTTGGCCGCCTCACTGACCAAGCCACCTAGGCATCCCACAAAAGATGTTTTTGAAATTATTTCTAAAAAATCTAAGACCGGGCAGCCCGGGTGGCCGAGTGGTTTAGTGCCACCTTCAGCCCAGGGTGTGATCCTGGAGACCCGGGATCGAATCCCATGTCGGGCTCCCTGTGTGGGGCCTGCTTCTCCCTCCGCCTGTGTCTCTGCCTCTCTCTCTCTCATGATTAAATAAATAAATAAATAAATAAATAAATAAATAAAATTTTAAAAAATAAAAAATCTCAGACAATGATCTAATAATAAAGATGAGATTTATGTATGCACTATCTTATATTTCAGCATTAGTTGCTTGCTAACCAATTGACGTCACCCAGATAATAGGAAAATATTTGGAGCTGTTCAGAATAATTAGTGTTGTTGGCTCTAACCTAACAAATAAAGTCAAAGCTCTTTCTGCCCAAGAAATTGTGTTTTATCTTATTTGATAACTACGAGAATACACATAATCTCTGATTATTTTCTTGTTAAAGTAATCCCATATTCAGTAACATCTAGATAAATATAATGACATTCTGGTCAGTTTGGTTTTTAAGACATTTAAACTAGGCATTTGAGACTAGGTTTATCTATCTATAGACATGTCAGCTTCTGTGTGGATCCTAAGATATACCAGTAATCAGATCTTTGTTTTGGGATGGATATGGTAGAAATACCTCTCTCTTTTTTTTTTTTTAAATGTTTATTTATTTATGATAGTCACACACAGAGAGAGAGAGAGAGAGAGAGAGGCAGAGACACAGGCAGAGGGAGAAGCAGGCTCCATGCACCGGGAGCCTGACGTGGGATTCGATCCGGGGTCTCCAGGATCGCGCCCTGGGCCAAAGGCAGGCGCCAAACCGCTGCGCTACCCAGGGATCCCAGAAATACGTCTCTTTAAGGGATGTATTACGCTGGCACACATTTCTTTCTCCATTCTTTCTTTAGGACAAAACTAAATTTAGCTGTTTTTTAATAAAGCCAAGAGCTATAGGAAGGAGGAATTTGGAAGGGAGTTAAAAAAATGAATACTTAGTTTCATTTGTGTTCTAGGCACAATTTTTTAGTTTAATGTTGGATTATAAGATAGGTGGAGCAAGGCAGTTGATCTTTTAAAGTAGTAAAACTTGGGATCCCTGGGTGGCTCAGCAGTTTGGCACCTGCCTTTGGTCCAGGGCGTGATCCTGGAGCCCCAGGATCGAGTCCCACGTTGGGCTCCCTGCGTGGGGCCTGCTTCTCCCTCTGCCTGTGTCTCTGCCCCTCTCTCTCAGTGTGTCTCATGAATAAATAAATAAAATCTTTAAAAATAAATAAAGTAGTAAAGCTTAGTTTTATGTGTTTTTAACAGGTGATCTCTCAATCATGTTTTTTTTTTTAATGATTAAAAAAATTATTTGAGAAAGAGAGCATGACGAGAGGAGAGAGGTAGAAAAAGAAGGAAAAGCAGACTCCCTGATGAACAGGGAGACCAATGTGGGGCTCCATTCCAGGACCCGGGGATCATAACGTGAGCCGGGGGCATACGCTTAACCTGAGCCACCCAGGCGCCCCAATATCACATGTTTTATGAACATGTAAGAAGATTTAGTAATACATGTAATTAATCTGGGATGAATCTGAGAATTCTGAGCAGTTATCTGTGCTAACAGATGCAATGTATTCCCACAGAATGCCAATCAAAAGAGAAGGGAAAAGAAAAGTTCAAGGAGAAAGTAGGGGAAGAAAAGCCAGCACATGTGTAGTGTTAGAATAATAATATATGAATTTTAAAAAGACACAAAACAATAGAAATTACAATAAATTGTGTTAACTCTAAAGTTGTTCCATTGTTTTGTTTTGTTTTTTATAAAGGATTCCATCTAATGTCTAACCTTGTTTTACAAACTAGAGCAGTATGTTTTATTCCTATCAATGACTTGGTTATTACCTTCTTTCTTATGCCCAAATTAATGATGTGGGGAAATCCCTGGGTGGCTTGGTGGTTTAGCGCCTGCCTTGGGCCCAGGGTGTGATCCTGGAGTGCTGGGATCGAGTCCCATGTTGGGTTCCCTGCGTGGATCCTGCTTCTTCCTGTGCCTGTGTCTCTGCCTCTCTCTCTCTCTCATGAAAAAAATAAATAAAAATCTTTTTTAAAAAATTAATGATGTGATTGGTAGTAGGAAGCCTTCTCTGTCTGCCTGGTCTTGTTTTAAGTCTTTTTTCTGCATTAAAGCAGGACAAATTCTAGCTCAACAATTTCCTATGAGTAGATACAGTTTTCTGTGATTATTCAGAACATGCTTGTGACCAGGGTACGTGTTGGAATCAACCTGATGCAGTGCAGAAGGATAAACTCACATGCATCTCTTGCTGATATTATTGAAAGCCATATATAAATATCCTGTAATGAAGACTATTCTGTTATCCTTTCTCAACACTGGTAACTTTGAAATAAAGTTGCTGCCCAACATCTAGTCAGTGTTGAAACAAATTAGAAGAATTGGGCTTTCAATAAACTATGCAATGTAAAATAAATAAATGAATTGATAACTGCAGAAAGATAGAGTATGTTCTTAGTTAAAAACAAAAACAAAAACAGTAGCAGCAGCAATCTGGTTAAGGCAGTACCGAATTAGGAACTAGAGCTTCTCATCTCCAGTCTCAATTTGACCTAAAGTCAATATTTTTTATTCCATTAAAGCATGTTGATGTTTATGGTGAGATTGAAATGCTTTTGGATGGCTTAAATGTCCCTTTTTTTCTTAATCCTAAAAACATTAAATTCTTTTTATAAGTATATTTTTATGTAGCACTTTTTTTTTTTTAAAGATTTTCTTTATTTATAAGAGAGACAATGGCAGAGACACAGGCAGAGGGAGAAGCAGGCTCCATGGAGGGAACCCAGTGTGGAACTTGATCCCGGGTCTCCAGGGTCACGCCCTGCGCGGAAAGCAGCGCTAAACTGCTGAGCCACCCGGGCTGCCCATGTAGCACTCTTTTGAAAGGCGTTTATTTTTCTTTTCTTTCTTTTCTTTTCTTTTCTTTTCTTTTCTTTTCTTTTCTTTTCTTTTCTTTTCTTTTCTTTCTTTCTTTCTTTCTTTCTTTTCTTTTCTTTTCTTTTCTTTTCTTTTCTTTCTTCTCCTCTTTTCTTTCTTTTTTCTTTTCTTTTTTTTTTTAAGGCGTTTATTTCTAAGGAATTTTTATATCAGAGTAAGATATATATTTTCATTCACCCTCTACAAAAGAGTTTACTTGAGAATATACTATTTTAATAAACATGATTTGATTAAAGGGAAAAGGTGTGAGGGAAATGTTACATACTTAAGAAGGGAGACATAGTATTTATGTTTAAACTTTGTTCTTGAGAAACTATTAAGACAATGATTTCATAAAATATTAATACTATGGGAGATTTGGGTTTGATAAGAAAAATATTCTTCTCTGTCTGGCAGTGGGAAAAGTATTTGGATTATATGTAGATCTAGAGCACTATATCTAAAGGAGTAGTGCATATCTGAATCACGTCTATAAAACAATACCTGAGGGACACCTGGGTGGCTCACTGGTTGAGCATCTGCCTTTGGCCCGGGTCATGATCCCAAAATCCTAGGATTGAATCCCACATCGGGCTCCCCAAAGGAAGCCTGCTTCTCCCTCTGCCTGTGTCTCTGCCTCTCTCTCTCTCTCTCTCTCTCTCTCTCTCTCTCTCTCATGAATAAATAAATAAAATCTTAAAAAAAAATACCTGAAAGTTTCTGTATGATTTTTCATTTATTTTTTTGAGAGTTGCCCCAGTCGTGTTCTGTGCCCTCTAGATTCCCAGATGTCCTGCTTTTCTCAAGCCATAAAACATAGAGGCTTCTAGTGTTGGGGAGATGGGTGTGAAGCAGCAATATAAGTTTGCGGTATGACATTATTGCTTTAATGTTGCACTTTATATTTTCTCTACTACTGAATATTCAGAAATAAGAATGTAGAAAAAAATAGGAAAGTAGGAAATCAACCAACCAACCAAGAAACAAATTTGTCACTTATACTAATGAAACTTCATCTAATGGTTGAGCTGAATTCTAGGATACATTATTTATTTGGCTTATTTTCTTGTTTTTTAGTCACTGGAGGAGGACCCATGGCCAAGGCTGAACTCTAAGGACCATGTACCTGCCCTTGTTCGTAGTAATGCCTTCTCAGAGAATTATTTAGAAGTCCCAGCTGAGATAGCTCGAGGAAGTGTCCATGCGACAGCTATACCCTCAAAAGATCCAGAGCCACTTGAAGAACATTGCACTAAAGCCCTGACTTTAAGGATACATGATTCTTTGAATAATAGCCTGTCAGTTGGCCTTGTGCCTACCAATTCAACAAATACCATCACGGACCAAAAAAATTTAAAAATGTCAACTCCAGGTCAAATGAAAGCCCAAGAAGTTGAAAGAACCCCTCCAGCAAACTTTAAAAGGACATTAGAAGAATCCAACTCCGGCCCTCTTATGAAGAAGCATAGACGAAATGGTTTAACTCGAAGTAGTGGTGCTCAGCCTGCAAGCCTCCCCACAACCTCACAGCGAAAGAACTCTGTTAAACTTACTATGCGACGCAGACTTAGGGGCCAGAAGAAAATTGGAAATCCTTTACTTCATCAGCACAGAAAAACTGTTTGTGTCTGCTGAAATGTATCTGAAAAATGTTTTTTTTCCCCCAAACTTAGGATTTAAGAGGGCTTTTTGAAGTTGGTGCCGAACTTGAACTTTTTTTAAGGGGACAAAATAAAATAGTATACAGTTTGACTTTTTGGAATTCAACAGTTTTATCCTGGCCTTGTACTTGCTTGTATTATAAATGTGAATTTTGTAGATGTTAGGGTGTAAGTTGCTGTAAAATGTGTGTAAATTTGTACACTTCACACAGACTCAGTCTCTTACTCTGATACACAGTAAATAACAAAGGGGCAAAAGGTTAAAAAAAATCAAAAGAATCTATTAGGTTTTAGAAATACATGTAAACTTTTAAAAATGCTTATTAAGAACTTTGTATAAGTCACTTGTGATGAAAACTACACAACTTTTTAGGTAAATTATTAAGCAGACTGGAAAAGTGATGTATTTTCGTAGTGACCTGTGTTCCCCTGGATGTTCCTTAGGGACAGCTAGTGTCTTTTAAAAATTATTTTTTATTTCTAATTTCTTAATTCAGAATGAGATTTTTCATAGCAGAAGTGTTGAGCCATGCTGAGAGTAGCTTGGTGTTAGTCTCCGTGTCCTAATTAAAATACTATGCAGTATCTTTTAACTTGGTAGCATTTTTCTGAAACATTAATCATCAGATGTACTCCCCAAATGTCTAGGGGAGTGTGTTTGCCTACAAAGGTGCCCTTCTCCATCATCCCAGACACCCACTGGCATTATTAGGTCTTAAAGGAGTTACCCTCTCTCGTGTTTGAATAAAATATGTGAAGTTTTTCTTGCTATTTCAATAACGGATGGTGCTGCTAATTCCCAACATTTCTTAAATTATTTTATATATCGTACAGTTTTCATTGATTATATGGATATATGTTTGTTCATCTAATAAATCAGTGAACTGTTCCTGATGTTGCTGGATTTTTGTCATTGGTTTAATTTTATTTTTATTTATTCATTCATTCATTCATTCATTCATTCATTCATTCATTCGTGATAGACATAGAGAGAGAGGCAGAGACTGGAGGAGGGAGAAGCAGGCTCCATGCCGGGAGCCCGACGTGGGACTTGATCCCGGGCGTGGGACTTGATCCCGGGCCTCCGGGATCGCACCCCGGGCCAAAGGCAGGCGCCAAACCACTGAGCCACCCAGGATCCCCTTTGTCATTGATTCTACTGATATGATTTGTTTTGCCTTGATCATGCTTTAGAGTAACAAAGATACATGTAATGTTTATTTTTGCACTCTTCATTTTTTAATTTTAATTTAGAATGCATTGAAACAGGCTAAATATCCAATAATAGAATACGATTAAGAATATGGTAAAGTTGGGATCCCTGTGTGTCTCAGCGGTTGAGCATCTGCCTTCGGCTCGGCGTGATCCTGGAATCCTGAGATTGAGTCCCACATCGGGCTTGTTGCGTGGAGCCTGCTTCTCCCTCTGCCTGTGTCTCTGCCTCTCTCTCTTGTGTCTGTCATGAATAAATAAATCTTAAAAATTTTTTTTGATGAAATATGTTGCATATGAATTAAAGCTTTGATAATATAGGAAAGGACTAAGACACTAAGAGTATGTCATTTTGGTGTGAATTCTGCTACAATGAGAAAAATTTTAAATGTATTAGAACAAGACATATTAAGATATTGAGGAGTTACTTCACTCATTCAACATCCAAAATATGTTAGGAACTACAAAATTGGAATGCCAGTTTTCAGTAACAGGCTTGAGAATCAGGGTCCTGGTAAAACGTTAACTGTGGCTAGTTTTTTTTTTTTTTTAGGATTTTATTTATTCATGAGAGACATAGGCAGAGGGAGAAGCAGGCTCCAAGCAGGGAATCTGACATGGGACTCGATCCTGGGTCTCCAGGATCCGGCCCTGGGCTGAAGGCAGCGCTAAACAGCTAAGCCACCAGGGCTGCCCCAACTGTGGCTAGCTCTTAAAAAGGATTTTTAATTACTGAAGTTTGTTTGTTTTACGGATTTTAGAGCAGGAGTGGGGGGAGAGGGAGAAGCAGACTCCCGGCTGAGCAAGGAGCCTGATGTGGGGCTCGATTCTAGGACCCTGAGATCATGACCCGAGCCCAAGGCAGTCATTTAACTGACTGAGCCACCCAGGTGCCCTGAAGAGTTTGTTTTTCAGATCTTTCCAAGACAGAGACGTAGCAACTAGTAGACACTCTTGAAAGTCCGTTTATTGTGAAGGGCTTTTTCCATCTTTTTTGTTGTTTTTCTATCTTTTAGACCTGTATACCATGTTAGCTGTACCCACTAGAAATTCAACAAATCTGAATGTACATTAAAATTCATTTAGCAGGGGTCCCTGGGTGGCTCAGCGGTTCAGCGCCAGCCTTTGGCCGAGGGCATGATCCTGGAGTCTCAGGATCAAGTCCCACGTCCGGCTCCTGGCATGGAGCCTGCTTCTCCCTCTGCCTCTGTCTCTGCCTCTCTCTCTCTCTATGTCTATCATGAAAAAAAAATAAAATCTTTTAAAAAATAAAAATAAAATTCATTTAGCTATTTTACTTTTTCTGCCAGTGATTGTAAATCCTGGCATTAGTGCAATGGAGTCCCAACTCCATATAGTAGTAGCTATTAATACGAGAAACAGTTTTGGTTTAAGACACACCTGCAGGGCAGCCTGGGTGGCTCAGTGGTTTAGCACCTGCCTTTAGCCCAGGGTGTGATCCTGGAGACTCGGGATCGAGTCCCACATTGGGCTCCCTGCATGGAGCCTGCTTCTCCCTCTGCCTGTGTCTCTGCCTCTCTCTCTGTTTCTCTCATGAACAAATAAATAAAATCTTTAAAAAAAAAAAAAAGACACACTTGCAAATGCTAAGATTAGCCCTTTTCTAAATCTGTTCCTAGGACTGTGTTTAGGCCTATTCCTTATGGAATTGAAGATGTTATGTAATCACAAATAATGTTTTAATGTTCTGATTTTATTTGCTTATGTAACAGATCAGTAATAATACATTATGGGGAATTTGTGATGTATAAGATGATACATAATGAAAAACCCTCACCTCAGTTCCCAAGGCAGCCAACATTTCCCTCTTTTTGTATTTTAGTGATAATATATGCATAGACATGCAAGAGGTGTTTACCTCTTAATTGTGACGATTTTTCTCTATCAGTATTTCACAGCCTACTCAATCTTTAGTATTCCAGTCCATGGATAGAAGTTATTTACGTATTATCTAACCATATCCACTGAAAGGAAAACAGTTCTTCCTTTACTCATATACTTAATGATGTCAGATGTGTAAGTTTTCCTACACCAAGCAATTCTCCAATCCAATTGGGTGTCCTACAATTCAATTCAGTTCTGTCCCTTCTAGGGTTATCATCAGATGCCACAAGTTAAGAACTCAGTCTCAGAAGACTCCCCTCACTGCTGCACGCCCCTCAAGTTTGGCTAATTTGCTAGAACATCTCACATGATTCAGGGAAACATGATTACTGGTTTATTACATTAAAAATGATACAGATAGGGATCCCTGGGTGGCTCAGCGGTTTAGTGCCTGCCTTCGGCCTGGGGCGTGATCTTGGGGCCGGGATTGGGTCCCACATCAGGCTCCCTGCATGGAGCCTGCTTCTCCGTCTGCCTGTGTCTCTGCCTCTCTCTCTCTCTCTCTCTCTCTCTCTCTCTCTCTGTCTATCATGAATAAATAAAATCTTTTTAAAAGTAAAATAAAAATGATACAGATAATAGCTAGATAAAGAGATATGTCAGGTGAGGTCCAGAACAGCCCTAGGCAGAGGAGCCTCTGACTCTATTGGTTTGGGGTGTACCACCCTCACAGCATGTGAGTTTACTAACCTGGAAGCTCTGAATCTCATACTGGAAGGATTATTATGGAGGCTTCATCATTTCGGTGTGATCAATTAATAATCTCAAGCCTCTTCCCTCCCAGGAGAAAAAGGGTGTGTAGTGATCCCACCAAAAAGGGGTAGTCTCATTAGAACAAAAGATGCTCCTATTGGGAAATTCCAAGTGATTTAGGAGCTCTGTGTCAGGAATAAGAGTCAGTGACCAAACACAAAAGTTGTTCCTAGTCCCTTTATCACCTAAGAAAAAGGTTTTAGGTGTTCTCTAGCCAGGAGCCTGGGACAAAGGCCAATATGTGTTTCTTATTATATCACAATATCCCACCCCCACACTGGTTCTTTTCAATATTTTGCAATAAACAGTTCTCAATCTATTTATCTTATGCTTCAAAGATTTAAATATATTAGTTATATACTGCTGCACACTAATACCTTAAAATTTAGTAGCCTTAAACAACAAACATCTTCACAGTTTCTGAGTGTCAGGAATCTGGGAATGACTAAGCTAGGTTGCAGAATCATGTGGTTGCAGTCAAGATACCCATCAGGGTTACATCTAAAGGCTTCAGTAGGCCTGGAGGAGAGGCTTTACATTTGCTCCCCTTAGGAAGCCTCAGCTACTTGTCTGTATGCCCTGTAGGACTTCTCACAACATAACAGATAACTTTCCCCAATAGAAAAATGATAGAACAAGACAGAGGGCTCAATGTCTTTCAAAACCTAACCTCAAAAATACACATCAGTTCTGTGTTTTATTAGTTACATAGACCAAATTGATACAGTGAGGAGGCAACTACCTAGGGTGCTAATATTAGGAGATGGCCATCATTAAGGGCCATCTTGGAGGTAGCTTATCAGGATCGCAAAGTTAAAAGCATTTATCATGTAAAATACAGGCTTTTTAGCATTGCTTTTTATTTTTTTTATTTTTTATTTTTTTTAAAGATTTATTTATTTATGATAGACATAGAGAGAGAGAGAGGCAGAGACACAGGAGGAGGGAGAAGCAGGCTCCATGCCGGGAGCCCGACGTGGGACTCGATCCGGGAACCCCAGGATCCCTCCCTGGGCCAAAGGCAGGCGCTAAACCGCTGCGCCACCCAGGGATCCCAATTTGCTTTTTAAAGCTATGCACTAGATTTGTTTTGGTAACATTATTGACTGAAGTTATTTTCATCTTCCAGATATCTGGAAGATAGTGCTCTAATGAAAGGAAGTGTTTTAGTGTATTTTTTTCTCCCAAATATACTATGTCATAGAAAAGTTGAAAACTTAAATTTTAATCTTTAAAAAAAATTTTTTTTAGGGACACCTGAGTGGCTCAATGGTTGAGCATTTGCCATTGACTCAGAGCGTGATCCCGGTGTCCAGGATGGAGTCCCACATTGGGCTCTTTGCAGGGAGTCTGCTTCTCCCTCTGCCTATGTCTCTGCCTCTCTCTCTGTGTGTCTCTTATAAATAAATAAATAAAATCTTAAAAACAATTTCTTTTTATTTATTTGAGAGAGAGAGTATAAGCACAAACAGGGAGAAGCAGAGGGAGAGGGAGAAGCAGACCGCCCACTGAGCTTGGGAGCCTGACTCTAGGCTGGGTTCCAGGACCCTGAGATCATGATCTAGGCCAAAGGCAGATAATTAATTGAGACACCCAGGTGCCCCAAATTTTAATATTTGAGGCAAAATATTTTGGCTGTATGAATGGTTGCATTAGGGATGACAATATACAAATTTGGTAGTCTACTTAAATCTATTTTACCACTTAGAGTAAATGTAGAAAACTTAACCACTGTATTATCCTTTCCTCTTTATGTTACAGTTGTCATGTTTGTATATATTGAAAACTCCATCAGGCAATGTGATAATTTTTTCTATAAAAAATCAAACATTTTAAAGAACTCAAGAGGAAAATAGTCTGCAATCTTCATCCAGATATTTACCATTGCTATTGCTCTTTTTTCATTCTTGATATTCTAGGTTTCCTTCTAGTATTGTTTTCTGGTTTCTGATGAAAAACCTGTAGTCATTCAAATGGTTCCCCTGCAGATAATGCATTGTTTTTCTCTGGCTGCTTTCA